CGCGCCCAAGCCGCAGGCGGGTCATCCCCTACAGCACCGACCTTCAAACACCCTCTTCCCATATTTCACGTTGCACACCAGTGGAAATCACGCCTCAGAGAAGATGAAAACAAAAAAAAAGCAAACGAAACAACGAGAATGGAAGTGAATAGGTGTGCGCACACACCACCGCGCTTCCCCCGGTCCTTCTGCAACCTTTCAACTGCTCTTCCTTCAATCCACAACACCACTTGAATCCTATCCTATTCATTCCATTTAAATTTTTTTTCTTTCCCCACCCCCAGCACAAAAAAGGGCTACACAGACACAGCACACGATTAAAAGCACCGACACCCTCTCCAGATTCCCACCCACACACACCATATCGAATGGCGATGCAAAGAAAAAAATGCGGAAAAGGCCACCTGTTTGCATTGGTACATCATTGAGCCTAATAAAAGCTAAGCCGCATCATCACCATTAGGTTTGTCTGAGGACTTCTTCGGCACCTGCTGCTCAGACTTACCCTCCTGTAGACTGTCGTGGATGCGCTTCAGAGTCCAGTCAAAGACGTAGTCCACATGGTACCCCTCACGAACGAACAAATCCAGGAAGAGCCGCTTCAAATAACTGTAGTCAGGCTTCGAGTCAAAGTGAAGACCGAGGGTGTAGTTGAGGTACGCGGCGAACTCCATTGGGAATCCCTTACAGAGTGTCTCTACGGATGTTGTCTGCTTCTTCTCAGAGATGCGTGCGTACTTTTCTTGCTTCGTGTGCGCCTTGAGGCCCTGCCACGGCAGTGAGCCGCGCAGGAAGTACAATAAGATGTACCCGATCCCCTCGAGGTCGTCGCGGCGGCTCTGCTCGATGCCGATGTGAGTATTGATGGAGCAGTAACGTGCCGTCCCCGTCAGGCTCTTGCCCTCCTTGTATGGGATGTGTTGATGTGTGCGGGCATCACGGTACTTCTTGGCGAGACCGAAGTCAATGATATAGACGTGATGCCCCTTCTTACCAGTACCCATCAGAAAGTTGTCAGGCTTGATATCGCGATGGATGACACTCTTACTGTGGACAAACTCAATGCGCGCAATCATCTGCTCCGCCAGCATCAGTGTTGTCTTGAGCGAAAGCCTCCGACCACAGAAACTGAAGAGGTCCTCAAGTGAGGGCCCCAGAAGGTCAATCACCATCACATTGAAATCACCCTCAACGCCGTGGTACAGAACGTTAGGGATACCCACAACACCGCCACCGGCATTGAGGATGCGGTAAAAACGGGCCTCGAAAGCCAGCTGCGGGTGACGCGTCTTCACTTGCTCCAGTTTGATGGCCACGGGATCGCCTGTTTGTATGTTCGTGCCACGGAAGATCTCACCAAACGAGCCGGAGCCAATCTTCTGGCCGAGTCGGAACCGGTTGCCTACACGAAGATCTACACTCATTGCGAGCAGTGTGTTGTGTTTGTGCGGGTTGTGCTTTTCGCCCCTTTCCTGTTGTGTTGCACACGCGGCGTGTTCTCTCAAGCTTTAGGCTTATGGCTGCCCACCAATCACAAACAAAAGGGAATGACCAGAAGAATGATGTAGATATTCGTGGAAAAAAGAATATTTCTTTAATGAATCTGTTTTATCAATCGTATATTTCACTCCATTGTGGGCAGATTCCTTTGGTTCCCAACTCACACTACACTGGTTCAGTCGTCACGGTGTTTTTAGGGCTGCTGGCTGTGGTATGTTTTTAGAGACTGATGCTACGGTAACGCTGCTGTAGACCCTTATACGTGTCGCAGCTCCCCACTTTCACCTCCTGCCTTCCTCTTGTACCATACACCACATCGCACTGACGCTTCTATTCCTGAAGAAATGGTCTGGGAAGGGGGCTGACTAAAGAAGATGCCGTCCCATGTACAAAGCCTCATGGATTCAAATTACCGTGTGGGACGTAGGGGGTCTGGACAAATATCTTGCAGGCTAGCACGCAATGTGGGACACAAGGGTTGATTTGACTAAAACTGTTCCCCTCACCTACATTTATTGCCCCTCTTGCCCAGCTTTTGTCGTCTTATCTTCCATCAACAGACTCTCGTGAAGCCGCTTCAGCGTCCAGTCAAACACATAATCAAGATGGTAGCCTTCCCGTACAAACGGATCCCGGAAGAGACGCTTCAAATAACTGTAGTCCGGTTTGTCCTCAAACTGGAGAGCACGAGTGTAATTGAGATACGCGGCAAACTCCGCTGGAAAGCCTTTGGAAAGTACATCTAAAGGTGTGGTCATTTTGCTTTCCGCAATGCGTGCGTACTTTTCTTGCTTCGTGTGCGCCTTGAGGCCCTGCCACGGCAGTGAGCCGCGCAGGAAGTACAACAAGATGTACCCGATCCCCTCGAGGTCGTCGCGGCGGCTCTGCTCGATGCCGATGTG